TTTTATTATTTTCTACTATGTTAATGTTAATGTTAATAGTCACTTAATATCCCATAGAAAATATTCTATTGAATGAATATTGTTTGTTTATACCTAATTCTGTTCTGTATCGAGCTATTAAGACAGATGGAGCAAACTGTTTTAAAGGAGCATTGGGATGTCAGGTGTGACTATGTGGCAAATGGTTTACATGGCTCATGGGTCAGGTAGGAGGGCACCCTAGCAGAATTTCGCTTAGGGCCCCAGGGAAGTCATGATGGTCAGGAGTTCCACTCTCAAGGTTGTGTGTAATATTTAGGGAGATCTATTGACTATAATATTCATAGATATGTTTTTATTGTATTTTATATTATTATTATTATATTATTCTATTTTGTTGTATAATCACCTAAATATATATAATATAATAGTTTTCATTATACGGGTCGTGGCCCGCCATGTTGAACCACCATGTTTCTACAGTAGCCCAGAAAAACAAAACACTGGTTGTAGATAGGGCCTTTTCCCCGAGTTTTGCAGCCATCGTCCTTTCTCCTACACACTTTACAGCCTCTTTTAATTTCCAGGTAAACACACGCCAGTGGTGTTATGTTAATCTTTAACTTCACTGGTAGATGCCACTAAATCCTACACACTGGTCCTTTAAAAAAGTAGTTAGTTTGCCCCTACATATATTATATTATTAGACATATGTTGTGCACAGATTTAAAGAAAGAGAAGGGAGATTGAAAGAAAGAATGAGGAAGAGAGTCTTAGCTATCCATTATACCACTAGTCACCCATGCTCTACTAATAGAGTTAATCTACACTACACTGTAGCACCTCCCTTTCTTTTTCAACCTTTTCTCTTTTCCTTCTTTTTCTCATCTTCATTTCTCAGTCTCTCTTTTTCCCCCTCTTTCTTTATGCAATAGTGATGTTTGCTGTAAAAAGAACGATCCGTTTGTTCTTGTCTCTTACTGTCTTGTCTTCATTTCTATTTATCAGCTGCAATTTAAACCAACATACATCTCCTGAACCAGAGGCACGATTCCATCAAAACTACAGGTATGTTGAAATAATAGTATTTATTAGTTCAAAAAAATTAGACAGTAGTAACTACTATTTGTGCTTGAAGCAGCATCGACTTCAAGTATTTGCACTGACATGCAATATTTGACCACCCAGCTAAATTGCTTAGTAACATTTTAGTATTTTGTAGTGGTACCTTAAATTATTAAATAACAAAATAGCAATTAGAACTACTTTATTAATCCTACAACTACCTGAGTTACTGCTGCAGTCCCATTACAGGCACTAATCAGTTTTAATTCTGTGTCAGTTACCCGTAATTGAGGCCCTCCAGGATCTGACCATGGACACTCCGCCAAAAGCACAGCAAGTGAAGCCAGTGGTATCTGCTCTCTGCAAAGTCCCGCTCCTCTTTCTGCTCCTGTACCTCTTTGTGTGCTCCCTTGACATTTTAAGCTCTGCCTTCCAACTAGCTGGGGGTAAGCAGTCTCATCAGTGTCCTTCATCAACTTTATCCTCGTCAATCTTTTAACTTGGCAGTGCTCACAGTAACTCATATTGTCACATTGTCATTTAGGCACATTATAAAATATATCAATATGCCTAGTATTATAGACATGTAATTGTATGTTTTATTTACTGTAATGGATTCTAAGCTTGATTTGAATATCAACCTATGTCCCCATCTGTCTCTTTATGTTTCCCTTCCAGGCAGGGTAGCAGGCGATATCTTCCAGAAAGATGCCATCCTGTCTAACCCAGTGGCAGGGCTGGTGGTGGGAATACTGGTGACAGTGTTAGTCCAGAGCTCCTCCACCTCTACATCCATCATAGTCAGCCTCGTCTCTTCTGGCTGTGAGTTATCAGCATCTAACAATTTTACAACAGTGTTATTTACATATACTTAAACATGAAACGCCAGCACTTTGACAAGACACGGAACAGAATACCACATTTCTCCTGCTTAACAAAAAATCTAAATCTAATGTAAATTTATATGTACAGACTTTGTCCAATTATGTCTCTCTGTACAGTGCTGGATGTTCAGTCAGCCATTCCTATCATCATGGGCTCTAACATCGGAACATCAGTCACCAATACCATTGTTGCTCTGATGCAGGCTGGGGAGAGAGATGAGTTTGAAAGGTACAGCTGTGTGTGTATTTGCCGTGTACATGTTTATAGATATGTTCATTTAAAAAAAAATATCTGAAACTGTTTGTTTGTTTATTCCAGGGCATTTGCTGGAGCTACAGTCCATGACTGTTTTAACTGGTTGTCTGTTTTGGTGCTTCTCCCTCTGGAAGCTGTGAGTGGGCTGTTGAGGCAATTGTCACAGGCCGTGGTTGACACACTACAGCTCAGTACTGGAGAAGAAGCTCCTGAACTTCTTAAAGTTCTCACTGAGCCACTCACTAAGATGATTATCCAGGTACTGTGGGCATATTTCCACAAGCACAGGAAATATTTTTGTTAACAATTTAAGACTCAGTCTCAACTAAGATTCAGTGAGACACTGAAAACCGTCAATAGGAACTCTCAAGTCTAATAAAAAGCTTTAGCTTTAATAGTAAACATTATCTCCTTTAATTGAACTGGTGGATCATGGAATTTGCACACCCCAACCAAGTAGAAAAAATAGAGAGAGAGAGGTCCCTCATGAAAAACATCACCTATTTAATAGATTTTGCATAATTATTCCACATCAAACAGTTACCTATTAAGAAGATTTTGCATATTTATTCCACATCAAACAGTTACCTATTATAAATATTTTGCACAATTAAACAAGGAAACGGTGCTCAGGGGCACAAGTTAGAAAATGTCAGACAGCGGAACAAAGCAGCTTAAGAGCAATAAAATCAAGACACCTTTCTCAGGTGTATCAGGTTATAGTTTAGTGAGAACAGACTGTTGGCAGCAATAAAATGTAATTCTAATAAACTGTAATATAATGGCATTACATGATTATTTCTGTGTAGCTGGATCGGTCAGTCATTACAGCCATCGCTACAGGAGACCACAGCGTGAGGAACAAGAGTCTGGTGAAGCAATGGTGTGAAACCACAACTGTGAAGGTACTGCTACCATACAATATGTCCCATATAATGTCATTACTGCCCTATTTCTTCTTGTGTTCGGTTCCCTGGGTGAAATACGTATTTGTCTAATTTTTCGTTTGTGTAGTGCTCATTTTACAAAACTGCACAAGACCGGGTGGGTTATGCACATCATGCTCATGTATTAGATGTACAAAAGTAGTTACTAATGTCACTGCTATGTATGTTACATTTTGAAACTCTCCTACCATCTCTTTGCCTCAGTCTGTGCTCTACCTGCTTTTCATTGCTGACAGGACAAACAACTTTTCAGAACATTCACAGAAATGTATGTCATTGTGTCCGTTTTTAAGTATTTCTGTGATTTTAAGTCTGTGATAGAATAATGCCACCCCCTTCTACTTGTGTATTCAATCACTAGATTTAACTTCTGCACCAATCATCAACATGCACTGTAAATGAAACATGCTGATTCTACGTTTAAAGTTTTCTCAGTTGTTCTCAAACAATTGGGGATTGAACGTTTTTCGCTTCAATAACAACTTGTTCTCTGCATTCAAATCCTCATGACTTCACATCTGTATCTCTCTGCCCAGGTAGGCATCTCTTTGTGGACTGCTCTTTGTCAGACTTGGCCATAGGTCTGATCCTCCTGGCTTGCTCCCTTGTGGTGCTGTGCAGCTGTCTGATACTCCTGGTTAAACTGCTTAACTCCCTCCTGAAGGGCCAGTTGGCCAGTGCCATTAATAAAGTTGTTAATACAGGTGATATTATACAGGAGTATTAAAGCCCTTTTCCTAAATACACACAGCTAAACCCATATTTTTTTTTAAATTGAACCTTAATTTCAACAATGACAATGTGCAGAGGACACATCCATGCTCTGTTTTATTCTGTCTTGTCCTGTAGATTTCCCCTTCCCTTTTACCTGGCTGGCAGGTTATCTGGCTGTGTTAGTGGGAGCAGGCATGACCTTTTTGGTTCAGAGTAGTTCTGTCTTCACCTCTGCTATCACCCCTCTCATAGGTAATGCTCACATACACACACACAAACATCCAATATCATGTGTCAAAAGATTTTTATGCCTACAAAACCAAACTGCACTCATTTGTAATAGAGTTTTCCTATACAGTTCAAAAAATGAACAATGTCTTTACTAATTTGTTATTTAGTATACGTATACTACACATGGGAATAGGAAATATAGCAACATTCTCCTCTGTTGCTGTCCTTTTCACAAATTAATAAATTACCATCTCAGTGTTTTCACAGGAGTTACTTTCCTGCAACCTTGATTCAGTACAGCATTAACAAGACTGTAGCAGATAATAGTTAAGCATGTTTGTTAAAAATCCTCCATGTCTTCACTTCTTATATTGTGCCAACAGCTGTAAAATGCTCACAAAAAAACTGAAAAAAAAGAGATTATTTTTAGAATCTGTCTGAAAATGTTAAAATGTTTGCACAGACCCATTTATGTGCATTATGGTTTTATATTTTCTGCCCTTTAACAACTCTTGTCATGACAAAGCTTTTTTCTTTGCCTCCTAGACTTTGTAACAAACCCCAATGAAAGCTAGATTACCCATTGACATCTTAAAGTCCTATTTTGATCTTTTAGTTGGACTCTTTGTCATGTGTTTTATCTGACTTCAGCTAATACAGTTGATCTGCTATTTAGTCATTTGTGTTTTGCAGAATTGATGTGATAAATGCAGAAGTAGAGCTATTGTACCTGTTGTTAATCATACTATACCATACTATGAACCCTCAGGGATTGGTGTGATCAGTATTGAAAGAGCCTACCCTTTAACCCTGGGGTCCAACCTCGGAACCACTACAACAGCTACACTGGCAGCCCTGGCTAGTCCGGGAGATAAGCTTGTTGCTGCCACACAGGTACACACACACACACACACACAAGATATACTTTCATGACACCTGTTTACTTTCCTACATTACTGTACAACTGCCTTTTATATATATTCTATTTTATTCCTATAAATTATATTTTTTTAACTTTAACTAACAGTCTCCCATTCAAAAGTAACGAAGCATTCAAGCTGGGTTTCTCTTTATATTTCTCTCTATGGTGCCAACATCTTGTGGTTAGACGCACCTTCAAAAACCATACAACATCTGACAAAAAAACCAAAGCAGTCCAAAAAATTTAAGTTCTTTAATAGAGACGAACATCATAAAACTGCCTGGATCAACCAGAGAAGCACAGGAGGACAGGATTTTTACTAAATTAAATATTTTTGGGTTTTGTATTGTTGCTCAAACATAACAAGACATTTGAAGACATCACCATGGGCTCATGGGAATTAAGAGGGAGCATTTTGGGTTTTGATGGGTTATGTTTAATCAGCTAATTAAAAAAAATAATCATTAAGGACAATAAGTTGCAGCCCTACAGGGCCATGGCAATGTTTCTCAAAGAACTGTATCTATCAGTTATTCATGTGTTTACTGGGATTTGTTTTATGTCATATAGGTTCAACCTTCTCTCGACCTGTTGGACTCACTCTTCTGTAGTTTTCTCTTTATCTCACTTTTATGCTGACATCTTTTATCCCCACCTTCTCTTTTGTTTCAGGTTGCCTTATGTCACTTTTTCTTTAACCTTCTTGGTATCTTGCTATGGTATCCCATACCAGCCACCCGCTTACCCATACGTATGGCCTGTGCCCTTGGCAAACGCACTGCCAGGTACTATTAGCAATAGTTACACAAACAAAATGCCAAAAGGATGGTGATGCTGTACCATCAAAGAAAAAAAAAAAATTCTATAACTAACTCACACATACACAGGTACCGCTGGTTTGCTGTTTTGTACCTTCTCCTCTGCTTCCTGCTACTCCCATCCCTCGTGTTTGCCGTCTCCATGGCTGGGTGGAAGGTGATGACTGGGATAGGCGTACCAGTCATTATGGTGATTATATCTGCTGCAACTGTAAACATGCTCCAGGCACGTAGACCGGGTTGTTTGCCGCTTAGACTGCAGAACTGGGACTTTCTTCCTGTTTGGATGACCTCGCTGCAGCCCCTTGATGACCTCATCACCAGAGCGACCCTGTTGTGCAGGCAGTGGAGGGGTAATTGAGACTTTTAAATTTAATTTGTTATTTAACTGTACCATTGATCCTATTTCTACTCTTTCACTCTTGGCTACTATTTTGATAACTCAACCACTTTATTTTTTTGTTGTTTGCATTACGATACCTATGTACCTCTTCCTGGTTTGCTGTTCCTGAGAGGCTGACTCTGTCCTTGATGTTTTGTTCCTAGGTTGGACTTGGAAGCTAAATGATGGCCAGGTAACATCACTGGAGGGCATTACTGTCATCCCTGAGAGAAAAGTCAGGAAGGAATGTCAGCAGAGTGGGGATGGACAGGAGATTGATAAGAGCTGGCAGAAACAAAGAGGACTGGACAAACATGGGTGTTGTGATCTACAATACAACCAGGAAAAAAACAACAGAGACAACACAGCAACCAACATGTATTCAGAGAACAATATATTTAACTTGGCTGCAGAGTGCTCCATAAACATGAACTTAAACAATCAGGGTACTCTGCTGAGTAGCACCCAATTGTAGTGCTACTATCTTGTGTTTAAGGTTTGCCAGACGTTACATGTATTTAAAGACCTGTATGGATGTCATTGCTAAAAAAAATGTTTTACAATCCTGTGCTGAAAAAGAACATAAATGTAATTGCCTGAGGATTTGTAACTGGCTGCACAAACTCATTGAAATGTGAGGAGAGCTACTATAAATTTAGGGCTGATGGACTGCTTTCAGATGAATAGTTAATAAATAGCATGTTGGTGTCTTATTATCTTGAGATAATTATTAACAAGGTAGCTTTTATTTTACACAACTGATGCAAGAGGACTCTAACAGTGATAAGAAGTTATATCCAGTATACTGTATGTTGCAACCTTAGCAAAGATTTCAACATGGATGATAAACATACTAAATAATTGCTTGAAGTTTAACATGACTTTGTTTAAAAATTAAATCAATCTCTGTTGGAAAATTTGCAAAAGCAGTAATGTGTTGTTAATGGCTCTGTAGCTGTTCCTACAGTAGATTATAGTAGATCTGACAATGTCATGTCAGCAGCCTTAAATGCACTTGTAGGTGCAGTTCGCAGTTTGCAGTGCATTTTCTGTAAATGATAATCTTTACTGGCTCATGTGAACAGTTGTTATGTTTAGCTGTGAGAGTCAGACTTTCAAAGATTGAGACTGAGACAGGGAAAAAGGAAAAAATATTGTGGTTTTTAACTGTCAGTGCTGCAACGTGTGACGCGTGTAAGTAAGTTTGTCTTTTTTTATTCAGCTTTTATTGCTCTGCAGATGTACTGTATAGAGGAACACTGGTGTAAGCAGCGGATATTTCGCAAAGCTATAAAAAACTAGCTTGTGGCTTGGTTTTACTGAAGATATTTTAAGTTTTACGTTGCTCTCAGTGGTCAGTGCTCGTGAGACGTTTCCATAGTTGTTCACAGGGGATCACATTCTTCTTGGTGTAAAGGTCTTCACTTTTGTAGTATATAACTATAGTTGTACAGTAATTTGTGGAATATGGTGCTGACAACTTCAAAACCCATAACTTTACTATAGTTTCACAAAGTTGATAAAATGTACTGTAGCATGACACCAAAACAACTACAACTGGCTCAGAGGCCAAATTAAAACACCAAAGTACTTATTAGAGGTCAATTCTCTGTTATAAATTCTACTATACTTAAGTTTATAATGTTCAGTTTTCGTTGACATTGTTGAAATGTGTAAATTCAATCTTTATTAATGAGGCAGGCCAGATTATTAGGAACACCTCTCAATATAATGTAGCACAACACCACAAACAACCATGACCTCAATGATTAATTATTATTACAGTGTTAACAAAACATGGCTACGGCCCATACTGGCTGATACTACATACTTATATAAAAACATTATAGGCTAAAATCAAAATGTATTCTATGGTAGCTGAACTGCATTTAGAAAATGTTGCCATCCACAGTGGAACATCTTGCATAATAATTAGAAAATTATTTCCAAAAATTGGCATTTTTTTCACATTTTAGAAACCATAGTTTATGACAGCACTCTTAATCTGTCTACTGTTATATGTAAGATTTTCAGTAAGTTTAGAACTGCCAAAACAGTGAATCTTGCGAGTTGTGGGTAGCAACACAATAACTGCTTCCTTGATTCTTCTCACATAACCAGACAACAAAGACAAGAGCAAAACCAGTCTTCTGTCAGTGGAAAATTCACAGGTCAGCCACAAAGACATCGCAACATTGTGAAGGTGGTGAGTGACAGTTTTCTATTTTACTCCTGCAGTGTTTATTTTACAAGTTTAGTTTGTAGCGAGTATATAAATTCTGATCCCTTTTCTCAAATCTGTCGAGGTTCAAGGTTACTTTATGGTAGATTTGATTTACAGTAAAAGCCAAGGCATTCCTCTTGACAAAATATAAATACATGATATTCATACGGTTTACTTCAAATTACTAACTAGCTGTAAATTCATTTGATTGATGTGCAACTACAGAAAAACAATGATTTCCATCTATATGATCTTTACCACTCTGGCAACAACCGCTCTGACAAAAGGTAAATTTAAGTGTAAAAGTGTGATTATTTGTGCCCAGCATTTCAGTAGAATTTTCTTATCTGTAATTCACATTACGCATTTTATCTTTTTGTTGGTTTTAGGGTCTATTGAATGCAATTTCTCTGAACCTACTGGAGCTTGGTGTTTTGGGGCAGTTGGACAGCGGTTGCTTTTTCATCTGCCAAATACACCAAATACAGACATTAAGTTGAAAAAGGATAATCAATATATAATCTTCAAAAATGAGATAATGATTCCTCATGATGAATATGTGAATCGGTCTGAACTCTTCACCAATGGAACATTCAAACTAGGTTACGCAATGAAGAAACACTCTGGAGATTACGTGTTGGAACAATTTGGATCTGATGTGTTTCACTGGAAAAGATCAGTGTGCATCTTGAAATACAAGGGTAGGTAAATAGTTAGCATATACAGGAATTACAGCAGAGATTTTAAAGTTGGCTAAAATACATGTTAACATGAGACATTTAAACTGAAAGTGAAGATATCCGCACACTTAGATTCATGCAGCACATCACTTTATTTGTAATAAATAAAGTACATTAGATATGGTATGCGGAGAACTTCACTCTCAGTTTGGACACGTTGATGCTTCTAGAACCTTAGCAAATATTTTTCCGGGTGGAGCGCTGTATAATTAATAAATTAAATGTGAGCACTCTTTATCCGTGTAGTGATAAAGAATCATATAATATCCTGCCATATAATTAATAATTGTATTTAAAAAAGGAAAACTGTAAATATGGAATGGCACAAGAATATGAAATGAAACAACAAACAATTGCACAAACAGCTCATCTATTATTCGTTATCTCCTTTACTTGTGTATTTCATAATGTCTGCAAAATATTTTTTTTGTGCCATTTTGGTTTTATGCGACAGTGGAAACAGACAAGGAACAAAGGGAGAGAGGGGAAAAAAATATGAATTTGAATAGGACATGGCTCCATATTTAATAGAGCCAGTAGTGGATTTTACTTTGCATTTTGTACTATGTTTCTCTATGTTTGTCTTCC